AATAAGGCACTTTTAGCTCTGATGTCAAAGGGCACAGAACACGGAACATAAACAGCATGGAGCTCTGGGTAAAAAACGGCCGATATGGCAGAGAGAGCAGCAGAGTCTCATTTATATTCAAGCTCTGTGCCTGATCGCATCAGCTCTGCATCATGGGACGTATTACATTATGTGGGAGGGGCAGACCGTCCACTATTAACACACAAGCAAGGTCCCGTCGTCCAGCAGCTGAAGGGGAGATAATAATGGGGATGGCGGTAAACAGCTGGCCAGGAGGCTTTCGTACAGTCCGGCGATGCGACGCAGCTGCTCGAACGGGACATGCTCAGAGGACGATTACAAAGCCAATGTGCCCAGCAGGTCTATGGCAACAGCAGAACAAACCCCGGTGGTCATTAAGGCGGTCTTCGTTTGTGGATCTACTTAAAAACAAGACTTGGGAGAATTCAGTGACTGCAGGATTTAACATTTAGTTAAGCATATAAACATTTAATTCAATGACAGCACCATAACTCCCACGAGCACGTCTGTGTTTTTGCTGCCTGTTTTTTTTTCATCCTTTTCCTCATACGTGTAGAAGTTGATGATGGTTATTTCATAAATGTTATGGGAAATAACATGGTCCCAGGTATGAATGTACATGGTCGCTGCTTGCAACAGTTTTATGCTGCATCCACTGGTCCTCATCACCTTGGAAACCTGTCCACCGTAGCAGCAGTCATAATCTTATATTCAGTTTCTATACAGTGTATGTCTCTATAAATGGACTTTCTGAACAAACCACACGTTCCCTGTTGGTCTTGCTTCTAATCTGAGCAGATGGAATAATACTTTCGGAAAAATCATTATCATGGTATGATGTTATGCTGTTTGTGAAACAAGCTGATGTAAAAATAGCCACACTGGGGTTGGGGATTGAAAATATCAAGGTAGTCAGTTTATTTATATTTTCTGGAAAGAGCATTGTTTCTTTGTTTATATTTTTACTGGACACACTTGCGTAACCTAAGCAGTGGTATTTTTCCCTGTGTTTCAGAGGGCTTGAATTTGTCTAGACGTGGTGGGATAAAGTCTATTTTGCTAAAAGCACCAAGCAGGTCTGCTTATGATTATATATATATATTTCAACAACTGATGTTACAGATACATGAATATAGGTGATTGAACCGCTGAAGCATCATTCAGTCACATCAAACAAAATTCATGTCTAATGTCCGCGATCTTTTTCCATGATACCTGGCGTAATTTCAGCTATCTGCAGGAGACCCTGATTTCTCCAGAAACGTTTATGGTGCCACATAAAATCAGCTGAACTGGAGCTCTCCAGGAACGTTGCATGAGATCATAAATTCACTTTGCAGAGACTTCCTTCTGCACCACTGGATATTTGCTAAAGTAATTCAGGCTAAGTGTTACTCTGCTTGGCTGTGCAGCAGTGGTTGTTCTCTTGACTTTGGAACTGTAGCCTTTTGGCCGCAATTGTAGTTCCATAACCCCTAGAGTACTTCTCCTTATGGACATCACCTCTGACCCATCGATATGGTTCCTGTTCAGATATCAACTGCTGCGTGAGTGATAGGCCATTGCTGGATGCCCACAATGTCTCACTGTCCCTACGTGTCTATGGCTGTAGTCGCAATATGGTTATGATGGGCTACATGATGCACTACACCACACCAGGTGGCCGTCTCCTTGGAAACACGTATGCCCCATTATAATCTGCTCCTCTATCCTCACCAGCGTACTGTTTCCATGGTTCATAGTCTCTTGTTTACCTGACATTTGTTGACGCCATGTTGAAAGAATTAAAGAGCGAATTTCCAAAACTCACTTCAGTCTGCAGGATATGCTGTTGAGAAAATTTCTCTGGATTGAGTTATGAAAATTCATCAAAAAGTTCTTCTTTGGATTACATGAGGACTAAATGAGTTTTGGTTCCCGGTACTGCAACGTATGATGAGGAAGCCTGACTTTAGGTCATTGGTGTTCTCATTTCAAACACATCAAGGATGGACCGAGTGAATTTTGGAAATTTGCGTTTCAATTTGCCCCGACACTTGGGCAAAAACCACTCAGCAGATTTGGCACCATAACAGTATAATTAATAATGCAGGTTCACTTTTAATGCCCTGACAGCAATAAAATCATCTTGCTCTCGCCCAAAAGTCAGAGAGGCAGTGCTGAAACTGCTGTGCAATTGATTATACAGTACTTACTTTGAACGGAAAACTTTGTTGCTGCATTGTTGTTTCTGTCAGGACAGATAAAAATACTATTTAGGTACCTTTAACTAGAGTACTACAGAAAAGCCTCTTTAATGAACTGGGGCATCCTAGCAGTTAGTATTTGGTCTGTGTGCAAAAAAGTTTGTATTAATAGTTAACAGCACAGTTGACTATAAGCATAGTCATTCCTTGGAGTGGTTAATGATATTGACATAGACGGTCCTCGGAGTAATTAATGACATGGACATAGTTATTCCTAGAAGGGTTTAAACACGCAGACATAGTCAGTCCCTAGAGAAGCCTTGCTGGTAATATTTTGTAGCATAGTGATCTTGGAAAATAGTTTGTGCACACTGGGTGAAAATCGTAAGTCCCTCTGGAAGGAAGCATTAGCTGAAAACTTAATGCAAAGAATCTGGAAATTCACTTGACTTAGGGCTTAAAACTACACAGGGCTCCTCAGTTATTGGCAAGGTGATGCTCGCAGCTGCAGGGTGTCTCTCCCCAGAAAACGAGGCGAAGGAATTCGCACGCAAAGCAGGACTGACATGTTTCACTGACTTTTCAGACTTCTACCCATGATTATCATTTTCTTTAAGACTTCCGTTGCATTAAATAGATTTTTTAATTTTCTGTGGCATTAGAGAGCATATGCACTGTATTTTGAAATATGACATTTAAGGTCCCGAGGGACACCAATGGCAGGACTAACATTGTTAGTTCATTCAGGATCTAAACGCAAGGTCTTGTGTGTACTCAAGAGCAGTTCATAAATAATCTTACCCATGACTTCTTAAAACTACCTAAGGGAATTCTAATGTTTCTGTGTTTCTCTGCTAAGCAACACTTCACAGAATTTAGCCAGGGATAGTTATCATAGCGTAGCATAGCCTTCAAGTGATTCTGGATAAATTCCTATAAATGTTATCAAGTGATTGCTTGAGCTTTGGCTAGATGATGTTCATACTGGAAGTAATACGACAAATTATCCCATGTATGATAGTAATGGAGGCCAGGAAGTGTCCAGGGTCCATCTGCACCCTGTTTTTCCAGGCATAACTCTGTATCGTTCATTCAAATGCATGTCAAGGATCAATGTAGTTCAGTAACATTGTCACTCAATAGTTTAGCTGTCGCAGACTATGAGCTGTCAAATGACGCACCTCCATTCTTGTTTATCGCAGGCCTGACCAGCTCAAATATATTCCTTCAGACCTATATCAGTCAATAAACCTCTCTTTATCTTATGAGTTACATGACATCTTTGTGACCCAAATAGACTCTTCTGCTATTTTGTAAGATGTCTAATATAATAGAGGTGAATTATGAGGCTATATTTCACTTTAATAAACAGAACTGGGAGGTGTTCCACCAAGCAGGATTTCTTGCTTAGCTGGATAACTTAGTCTGAGCTAAATGTAAATGAACCAAGATGAAGTCTATTTAGCCCAGACTACCTTAAATCAAACAAGTTATCTGACTAAGCAAGAAACTCTGCTTTATGGAACATCCCGGAGACTCATAGGTGTTTATTTTTATGTACTATTTATCTAAACAGGGAGAAGCATCTAAAGTTACATACAGTACAACTGCTTTTTCCAAAGTGGCATAGAATTGAGGGCCTTACTCAAAACCCCAATGGGAGAATTATTCTGCCAAGCCTGGGACTTGAACCATCAACCTTCCGATCCCAGGCATAGCCTCCTAGCCCACTGAGACACCTCTCCATTTATGCCAAAGCATGTTTACTTTACCATTTATGTGAACCTATGCTTATCTATATGTCTGAGAGCAGCGTGACTACAATGTGAAACTAGGACTAGGTGACAAAAAGCAGCCTCTTTCTAAAAGCACAAACCACAGCATGATTATTCTGCATGTGTTCCAGCTCCTCATGGGTTCTCTGAGTGGGTCTGTATCTCATAGCCCAAACACCACATACTTTGCCATGAAGGATGTTGGTTGGTTCTTACTGTTGTCTGCTATTTCACTTTAGGAAAAGATAATAGGAAGTAAAACGTCTTTTAGTGTGAGTGAGCAAGCAGACAAAATCTGATATCACTGCTCAAAATAGTGTTGACCTTTCAGAAAACAGGGTGAATCTGCGAAGAAGTAGTTTGGTAGTGTCTCTGTGAATATAAATATATAAAACACGGACAAGAATGCGACACATCCAACCTTTAACTTGTTGTTTCCTAATGCGGTCCTCGGGGACTGAAAGACAGTCCACGTTTTTGCTTTCTCCCAGCTCCTTGCCAGACAGTCCACATTTTTGCTCCCTTAGAGGAAGCAAAAATGTGTACTGTCTGCAGGTCCCCGAGGGCTGGGATGGGAAACACTGCTCTAACTGGGTTGGGTCATGGGGAGCCTGCAGTGTACCCCAGGCAAAGGGCACAAGGCTGGGGTACACACTGGGTGAAATGCCAGTCCATCACAGGGCACATGCATATACACACTCATACACAACTACTCTACAGGCAATTTAGAGACAGCAATTAGTCAAACTGCATGTTTTTGACCTGCGGGAGGAAACTGGAGAAAACCCACACAGCACAGGGAGAGCATGCAGGCGCCTTCCACACAGAGCCAAGGCAGGATTTGGACCGCCAAAGCTGGTGGCCTGAAGCCACAGTGCCACCCTCTGACTGAATGCTACCCTGCAACATATCCATTATCTTCAAATACACTATTTATAGAAACCCTGCTCAGAGAAACATATTAAACAATAGTGGCTCAAGACAAAGAATCATATCTGTGGGGCTGTGGGTCTGATTCCCAATTTTATTTCTTCATCTTATGAGACTGAAAAAAAAGAATCATAAAATGACTATGAACGTGCCACTCTCTGGTTTTTCATGCTTGATCAGGAGCCCGCAGCACCACCAAGAGTTCGAAACTGTTGCGTGCAGCATGGATTAAATAAAGTTCATAACCTTCTTCGTAGCATTCCTACAGTGTAATTGGTGAAAACGTGAAATGCTGTGTATATAAATCTTCCTGTTTAACTACATGTGCAGTTGTCTTCTCAAATCTATTTTCTCTTCTCTGCTGTTCATTGGCTGAGATCTGTTTGGGGAAACATAATGGATATGGTCATTGGCTGAAGGATCACATGCATTACAAATGATAAGAAAGTCATTACCATGGGTTGAGTTTATTGAGTTATTTTTTTAACTTGTTATCCTATGAATGATATGAGAGAACTGTCAGGATGTTTTTGTGGCATTTATGTCTGGTACCGTTAAAATTAGGACAGTTTCAAAGGGCTGCATAAAATGGTCGAGTTTCTTGGCATCAAACAACCCCAGGCAATGTGAGACTGCATGATCTAAGCACTGCACCTTTATGCCCTAAAGTATGGCAGCAGAGTCCTCCTTCATTGTGTTTTAATTGGTGGAAAGATGTGCTGACAGAGACTCTCATACCTTGGTGTACTTAATTCACACCGAAGATGCTCTTGTAATGGCTATTCAGTCTTGGAGAAAAACAATAACGTTGATGCAATTGATTCATTATATGATCGGTGGTCAGCATCTCTCTCCTAGCAGATAGTTTACATGGACGGCCTGATTGAGACGGAGATCTGTAGGCATACCAGAATGTGGTCTTTCCATTTAAAGAGAATGCACAGTGACACCTTGTGGTGTCTGCATATATACATCTTTAGAACCTGTATTTGTACGCAATGGTGGAAAATACAGATCCAGACCAAGGTTTTGTTTCAACCAACTAGTTGAACATAAAGAGTCACATTCACAGAGTACTCAAATGGCTGACAAACAGATTCTTGGCCTGGATTTGTACTTTCTGAACCTGAACTATCCACCTCTTATTGTTTGATTATAATTAAACATCTTGCCAATGATATGATTAATTCTAAGAAACATTTTCTTTAAATTCAATAACATTCAAAGTAGTTTATTACATTGTGTACATTCAATATCTTAGTGAATGATTAAAATAATAATATAATATAGCCATTTATGCACTATTTTTCACTTGATTTATTCGAGGTGGTTACTTAGCTATTAGGGTAGGGTGACTACTCCTATGTAAATTATCACGTCCAATGTGTACTCCTACCCCTACCTTTTGCAAGACGTTACCTGCGATAAGCTACAAGCTAAAAACTACATACCCCATAAACGTCGTTTTCAACTTCCGGCATTGCATGTTCCGTTTCCTGACAAACAGGAAGTAGGATAATTCCCCTCTTCAGGGAGATATAAGGTCTACTGTACGCTTCCCTTCAGGAAAATAAACTAGTAAATAAACTTGTTATTAATTTAACGCGTCTGCAACGTGAAACATAATGTCGAGGCAGTCCAACAGAACAACGGAGAGCAAGAAGATGGTAAGTAATTTCCATTCTTTGGAAGCTGTCAGTGCATTAAATTACACGGAATAAGGAAGCATCTTGACTTAGTCGCAGTTACCTTGATATCTTACTAACTGCAAACCGATGTCTACAGCATGTCCCGGGCGGTTTTGTCAGTTTATGTTTCTGCGGTAGTACTACGGACACGTACACAAGCTGGGTGTTTCGATGTTTTCGGTGGAGCCAGCTAGCCGGGGCGGCCAGGCGGCCCGGGCGTCGCGTCATCCCGGCTAATGACGCCGCCCCCCGGTGGCGCGTGGCTGATAACGTGTGTGGGTGCGGGGATGGACGCCGGCGCAGCATCAGGACACCTGATCCGATCTCATTCATTAACTCAGCCTTTTTTGGTTCGCTGACGCAAGTTAAAGAGCACACATCAAGAAAATTCCGAATTTGCACATTAGCCATTCTACATCTGAATGGCCCATTAATGAATGAGGTTCATGACTGCAAATACTAAATAATGAGTTCTCTAAAAAGAGACTTCAAATTAGCATTGCATTTCCATTGCATTCACTGATATTATTCCTAGTTTGTGTAGTTGAAGATACGTTTGAGCAGTTTCTAAGCCCTATTCTAATTACAGTGGCCTGCACTACGAAGCGGGGTTACTGGCTTATCGGGGTAACTTGTCGGATGTAAGGTACCACAGTTTAAATGGACTTCATATTCGTTCACTTACATTTTGCCCAGACTACCTTAAATCCGACAAGTTACCCCGATAAGCCAGTAACCCCGCTTTGTAGTACAGGCCACATGACTACCTGTTCAGGTTTCAGTACGAGTTGTGAGGCAATGGGGCAGCTTGCTTCCTGGCTGCGCTGCTGCTTTCCACTGATGCACGACTAATAAACATTTAGAAACATGCTTGGATATACATCAACATAAATAAACTTATTTTATAACCCAACCAGTGTCTAATTTGAAAATCATTGGTAAAGAGTAGTTGCCGGGTACCTTGCGCTGTAATAGGTAGGTATGGATGTCTGTCCATTCTGTCACTACCTCTGTGCCTGATGTTATCTCTCTCCTCTCTTTTATCCTGCCTGTCCCCCTTTTTCCGCTTCTCATTGCCTAGCTTTGGTATTTGCCATTTATTTCACCCTCTGCATCCATGCGTCACATGGTAGGTTGCTCATTTGTCTGATAGCTTTAAATAAGGCATGTAATGACCTCAGACTCATCTGGCTTTATGTTCAGGGATAGTCTCAGTCCCCCAATCCTGCTTTTCAACTTAATATTTTTTGGTCTGTAAAAATATTTGGATGTGTTTTTAATTTAGAATCTCAGCAAAACAGTTATGTACGTCTTATTCTGTGGGGTGTATTGGTGTTTCATCTTATCACGTGGTAGTAAGACTTACTACCATTTTGTTGTTAATGCAGTTAGAAGGCTTGTAAGTTAGTTAAAATGTCACGATACACTTTCTGGAAGTGGACATGAAAAAAACAGTGTATTTGGCAAGCAATGCAAATTTAAATTTAATTCTGCAAAGTGTCAGCACGATTCCTCAGATGACCCACGACTGGCATTGTAAATCAGACTGAGCTTAGGTAGTAAGAAACCTTTTTTTTTTCTTCTCTCTCTCAAAGCGTCATAAACCTGTAGTTAATTTAATGCACAGGTCTGTGTGCTTGAAGATGGAGCATCTCGCAAAGTCATCTAACAGACAGCGGCAGTACTGTTAGGGGAGTTTGGGGAAGGTCGCAGTTATGTCTGTTCACTGGGCCTTGTGCATTTCAGACCCTCCTCATCTTCCCCATTTCATGTAGAACAGGCTCAGTGGCTCTGCAGCCAAGTACTTTTTGAGATCTGATTGTGGTTTCAGATCACAGATCAGATGTAGTAAGAGACTGTTTCCATTCCCAAAGATGTGCAGTGATCATGAAGAACAATTTGAGGTGTACAGCACCATTTGGGTGGCAAGGTCCTTAAGGAAAAAGGATGAGCTTGCAAAAAAATCAGGTTTACTAACTGTATGATTAAGAAGAATGAAAAATAGACCATTTCTCCTGTTGCATATTTCTTTGTAGGTATGAATAGTTAAATTTATCATTATTTTCTGTTTACATATTCCAAATTATTTTTTACTCAAGTATGAAGAAAGCATAGCTTAGATGGGTGCCAAGTTACCAGCTTTTGTTTATTTGCTTTATTTCTTGCATGTGTATCACAGAAGGATGTGCAAGTAAGACGGCCAAATCACAGCACCACGTGCGGACTCTCTTCATGGCTGATTCCGGGGAGGTCGGGGTGGGGGGGGGAGGAGTCACCCATGGTGTTTTGCTGTTTTCCTTCCTCCTCGTCCTTGCGTTCCCTGAGCATAATGTGGTGCGTTGATCTGTTTGGGGGGGTCACCCACCTTGCTGTCTCTCTGTCCATTTCCCTTTACAGAATTCAGAGCTCTTTACTCTGACGTACGGTGCACTGGTCACTCAACTTTGCAAGGACTACGAGAATGACGAGGAGGTGAACAAACAGCTGGACAAGATGTAAGTGGCTTGCTTCTCCTTTCCTAGGGTCAGACGTGGCATTTTGCAATCCCTTTCTCAGTCCCTGTCAAAGTACAATCTCTACAGTGCAAAAAATGGAGGGGGGGTGGGTTGAAAAATAGCATTCATGCATATACATAAGTAGAGCTGGGCGATATGGCAAAAAAAATTATCACGATATTTTTTCCTGTATTGACCGATATCGATAATTATCAATATTATAGTTTCACAATGCTGTTCCCTGTAATAATGTAATAATCAAAATAATTATAAAAATAACCCTATTCTGACAAATAGAATGAATAGGTTGAAATAAACAATATTAGTAAACAAATACTTATTTTCCAACAAATTTTACTGTTTACATACAAAATTCCCTTAAAATTATAAAAGGTTGTTGATTTTCAAGTATTCAAAGAAACATAGCTCAAATGAACAAAACCATATAATAATGTAACAATGTGCAAAACTGTATTGCAAATATTATACAGTTATGGGCAAACAAAAAATAAAGCAGGACAGACCTGACTGCAACAAGTATCTTCCTCTATTCTTGGTCTCTTAAAACTTTTAAAAATTCTGAGGTAGAAAGGTATCTAAACCAAACAAAAAACACTTATTCAAAAAAATGCCAAATCATGGTTAGATTTTTTTTGTCCGGCGCTGCAAAACGTCACCACACATCACCATGTCACATGGTACAAAATCCTTGCGAGAGCAAGAAGACTTGAGACAGACCGTGCAGCACAAACTGGAACCGCCTCCGTGACGACACAGCTTTGCCCTTATTGGCTAAAGAATTTAGTCACACGCATGACGTTTGTATCCCAGGAAGTTCCAATGTGTTATCTGCTATATCTCCCGAAAAGCACGTAAAGCAATGCGAACTGGTTTTCAGTTCACAGTTCATTTACCTGGTAAAATAAAGTTTAAATAAGTTACATAAATGCTCTAACAGTACATGTAAGTTAGTGGTTTATTTATTGTTAGTTACTGTAATGTTGCGCTGCTTTATTTGTTTAATCGTGCAGTCTTTGAAGAAGGCATTCAGCACATTCTCTAAAACGGAGCAAACTTGGTTGATCGAGTTTTATAGTCTGTGTATATCATCGTGATCATCCTCATTTTTTATCGATAAAAAAAATCGAGATCGTTTTATCGCCCAGCACTATACATAAGTATAAACGTTAATGTGGCATGGAATTATTATTATTATTTTAATCTGTTTAATAGTATACCCAATTCATTGTGCAAAGAAAGTTAAAGCATGGTTAAAATAAGTTGTAAAGTACACATTTTTGTGTACATGGTAAATCTGCCCCCTGATCTTGTCATCTGTGTTTATGGAAGTTCATCAGAGTTAATCAAGTTTTATTACCCGCCCCCCCCACCTACCCAACAACTGGCACACTGTATGCCTGTATTCCTACCTGGGTCCAATGTGTGTTAAGTTGCAGCATGTGAAATGAGCCTCTTTGGCCTCTTTTTTGAGTTTCTGCTCTGACACATAACCTTCCGGCCCGCCAGATGTGCGTCTCTGCGTCGCCAAGTTCTCCGGCCATGTTGCATTCTTGCAGGCCTCATATTTTTGAGGCAGCGGCTTGACTTTACTCCCAGTGCAGACATCACATATTACAATAACACTGGGGAAAAAATAACCATTGTGCTGCGCAAATTCTTGTAAAATCCAGACTCATTTGTCACAGTGGAGCAGCTCATTTTTAACATGTTATTGAGATGTTAGATGAAAAATTGGGTATATGCACCCAGGAACACTGGAGAAGTATGGAACTGAAGTATCTTGGTGTCTTTTTATTCGATACTGCTTAGCAATTACCTTTGTCATTATCGATATTGTTCATAAATTCATTTATGAAAATTTACCTCTAATTTTGTCACACAGACAGGTAAGCAAATACAAAGTGTATATAGACACCACAAATACTTGACTTGCTACGTCTTGAATATTCTTGATGGGTTCTTTGTTATATTCTAGCCAAAATGATCATCCCACATCTTTAATTGCATAAAATTAAGGAATAGTAAGTAGTATCATACACATGTTGAGGGAAATTACGTGGCAAGTTAGTGGTTGGGTTATGCTATTTATGACAGAAAGGGGAAGATCTTTGCTCTTGTCCTTCACTGTTTTTATGTCCATGAGTTATGCTGTTTTGTGAGTAAGTGTGCTGTTGTCAGCCATTTTGACAGGTCTTACTGTAAGCAGTTTGGTGCCTATTGAGATTAGGGAGAACTTGCTGTTTCCGTATCAGAGCGCTGATGCTTTCCAAGCCTCCAAACTGTGGCCCTCTAGGTGCTGATGGAAATATTAGAACATTTGTGCAATTTAAGAAAACAAACAAACAAACTGTGAAGCAAAGGTGTCTTTAGTGCTGTTTTTCCCTGATTGGCGATTTTGCCCTGGCCTCTTTTGCAGGGGTTACAACATCGGAGTGAGGCTCATAGAGGATTTCCTGGCGCGGTCCAGCGTGGGACGCTGTCACGACTTCAGAGAAACCGCCGATGTCATTGCCAAGGTAATATAAACATGACGAGAACCTTCATAGTGCATCTGCTTTTGTTGCTTAGCTTTTAAAATGATGTGAGATAATCAGATGTTAAAGATAAAAGATGATACAGTTTAATTTAAAATGTTACGAAGTAAGTTGGTCGCTATGCTTCGTTGTGTAAAGTTTTTGAAACTAACAGGCAAGACAGTAATTATTCCTGATTGAAAAGGACTAGAATTGGCCCAAGAAACTTGCTGTAAGATTGTAATTATGATCAGTGCAGTCAGCTCTGTATCATAAGCCTGAAAGTTTACATATTAATTAATTAGTGTCGACCCTTTTTTTGCAGTATTGTTAGTCTGTTTGGATGGCTACATTGAATTTACCTTATAAAAGGCAACGGGAAGTACTATTAACAATCAGTATGAGAATAATAACTGGAGACCTGTAGGTAGAGTGAGTTTTCTGTTGCTCGCTGAATTTACCCTCAGGTGGCGTTTAAGATGTACCTGGGCATCACCCCAAGTGTGACCAACTGGAGCCCAGCGGGGGATGAATTCTCCCTTATCCTGGAGAGTAACCCCTTGGTGGACTTCGTAGAGCTGCCAGACAACCACAGCAACCTTGTGTACTCCAACCTCTTGTGTGGCGTCCTGCGAGGAGCACTGGAGATGGTGAGAAGATCATTTGTTGCCCTGAAATGGTCCTATCATGTAGCATGTAGTACTCCAAACCACCCCTTTGGCCAATAAAAATCAAACCTTACACAGACTCCTGGTTGTTAATTGGCCAAGGGAGGGACGCACAGGGATTTCCTTCAGTAGCCCAGTTGTGAATGAGCATATGGATGTGATTTAGAGAGGGAGGATTCACAGCATACAAGCGAAGGAATGAAGATTACACTCTGGCCTCCCAGTTGACGTCACCCTTCCTTACAGGTCCAGATGGCAGTGGATGTCCGGTTTGCTCAGGACATGCTGAGGGGTGACAACGTGACGGAGATCCGGATGAAGTTCATCAAACGTATCGAAGAGAACCTTCCAGCGGGGGATGAATGAGCAGCAGCACAAATGGGATTGCTAGACATGGAGGAGGAGGAAGACATGGTGGAGGAAGAGCCAGAGATAACTGGGAACGATGATGGACTCCATCTAGATCAGGTTCCAGTGAAGTCTGTCCCTGATGTTTATGGGATCCATGCCTGGCTGTGCCAGTAGACAGCCCACTTTTTGACTTATCCTTCACCATTGGGACACTAGTATTCATAAGCAAGCAGGGTAGAAATACCCAAAATACCCAACCCTTGATGCTGAATTCTATAGACTGGATTCAAGTGTGTTTAGGAGTTCAACCCACCCCCATTATAAATTGGTTCGACCCAAATGGGGAAAATTGTTGTTTTCGACAAAAGTGGTTGTGTTCTAGCTTGTCTTCATATTGTCATATTTTCCTTGTTTTGATGTTTTTTTTTCCTACATATATAAATGACTTCTTTGGGTGATGTAAATTATTAATTAAACCCTTACAATGGTCTGTCGGTCTTCTTGGAGGTGCTGTCAGGCAGCTTCAGTAAGTACTACTTTGTATTTGCAAAAATATCATAGCATTTCTGATAGATGTTAATTAAATTTAATTTTAAACCAAGTAACATTAAAGGGAGTAATGCTTTCAGTTTTCATTTCATTTTCAGCAATGTAACTGTCCCGAACAGGTGTGTTGGTAAGTAAGTCCCCAACAGAAACTGCTTTAATTTCCACATGATCCCCTCGCTTCCCCCCCCCCGTCCCGTGGTTGTAACCTGTTGAGTTGGTATAAGTTAACTGCGGAGGAACCCCGCTAATGTTTCGCACGTCGTATTTACATTTACCCAAAACACCTTGTTCTGTTACATACATCTGTTTTATATATACCAGGTCATGTATGCCTGATTTTTGTACATGTGGCATAAACGCATCTGTGGGAAGACAAATGACATTTCCCTCTATAGTCCGCCACCGACTATGGCCACCAGAGGTCCCTGTAAGCATTGTTTTGCAGAGATTTTATTGTCTGCCGTGCTTCCATGTCGGTGTTTGACTTTGCGAGTCTCAGTTTGATTTGCGCATAACTTCAGTACATTCTTTCAGACCTCAAGGGTAGGGAAATTTTTTAATGGCTAAATCCTTCGTCTGCTGTTATTTGAAGACGTTAGATCTCAAAGTAAAATGTTGGAAAGTGTGTGCAATGTGTTGACATTGAAATAAGCCCTTTTAGTGACTCCCTAAAGAGCACACTTCAAATTACACGTACAATGTGTGTATTCTGTACAATGTATACATTGGAAAGAGACACAGAGGAAATGTTTTTCAGCAGACATTTGGTGTAAATCATTTGTCCGAATCAGCCACTGCACCATGGGGATATACAGATGGGATTGTGTACTGTGTGAAATCTCGTATCGCTCTTCCATATGCTCCCAGGAATCTGCTCCTAGTTGGTGACAGAATCGGCTCCTCATTGTCCCTGGGGTTTCCTACATGTCCGCTTGTGTTCCGTCCTGTTTGCTCGCAATAGCAGAGAAACCTCCCGCGTGCTGATGTCTTGATGTTTGCAGAGTGGACTGTGGCCCCATGCAATGTTGCATCTTCTGCCATCGCATTCCACCTCTGCAAGGTTCATTTGCATGAACCCTCCCCATCTGTTAGTGCACTTGATACCCCAGGACAGCCACATGTATGTCACCTGTGTTTCAGGCAAATTAACATATTTCTCAGATTATGCTACCAAATGCATTTAATTATTCGTTTCCTGTTACTTTTCATTGCATTGGATTAAAATATTACAGCTCCTGCTTGCTTACGTCCCACATACAGTTTAATTTTTTGTTCGTTCTTCTTCACTGTGGACCAGCGCTGCTCTCGCAAAGGAGTAGCAAACCCTGCAGACCCAAGACAACACCCACCAATCTAGTTTAAGCCCCCTAAACACTACCATGTGGTCATTATGGGAAACAAATGGGGAAGTGCATGCCGTAACGGTAACGCTCCGTGTTTGGTCCAGGCGCCAGCTTATGGATATTGGACGCCTCGGACCCCCCCCCCCCCCACCATCCCTTCACTCCCCATTTTGCTCACTTTCAAGCTGTGCCAGGGAGGATGGATCCATGGGAGGAGGCAGAGGAAGAAAGGAGATGAAATTGAGGCCAGGAGCACTATGGGAGCCACCTTGAGGGAAAATTCACCATTCAGGAGTTTTATTGTCATCTGACCAAATAGCGAACATGTGCACAGGTACCCGGCCCTACATGGCTGCCATGTAATTTGTAATAAGGCGAAGACAAGTTAACAAAATATATAAAGCTAAAAAGCGCATCCACTCAACATTCACACCTATGACAAATGGTCATATATCCGACATACAACAATAATATATTGCAAGTAATAAACAATATATAGACTTGTTATGACACTGTCAGAGAGCATGCTGGGTAATTGCCAGGGATTTGCCATGTCTGATGTGGGAACTTGGTTACAGCCAGTGTGGCTTTTCTCTGGAAAGCGGAACAGCAGGATGAATAGTCGTCCTGGAGGTGTGTGTGTGTGTGTGTGTGTGTGTGGGGGGGGGGGGTGTTAGTTGTTCACATATGATGAACCATCTGTTTCACACCATGATGCCTGACGTGCAGCAAAGACCTCCATCTGATATAAGTTTCTGCAGATATTTTGCACTAGTCATTTTTTAGCCCCTCGGAAGCGGTTTGTTTGACCAAATGGACAATTTTGGTCAATTTTAAAGTGTTGATGTTGAGTCACTGGCACCCACCACATACAGTATGTGCCTGTAGTAGAATAAGTCATTCTTAGCAGGTTGGATAGTCTGTGTTGCTGTCTGTCTCTGCAGGGCATTGTGGGAGAAGGAGCGTGCCCCGATTCCTGTGTTACGGCTTTTCCCGTTTCCCTTTGACACTCTCCATGTTCTTGCATTTCAGGAAACACTGTGTTGTCAGCTGTAAATAGTCTTTCCCCATTATTCAATTTGTTTTGTTTTATTTCTTAAATAACAGTGGAAACTTTGTGTAGTGCTGGGGACTTGTTGAAGTTATTTCTTAACAAAAACGGTTGCAATGCGGTGCTGATTATTTCTGAATTGCTTGGATAAAGGCCTAAGGTGTTTATGTTTGATGGATTTGAGCATAAATACATTAAGTTACTTTGAAAGCTCAATTATAAGTCTGCATATTATAAAGACTACAGAAAGAAAGAGACAACCAAGCTAAAAAAATCAATCAATTATTCTTAGTGGGGGCGGTTTTGCAGGTCTGGAAGGTTGTCGGTTCAAATCCCAGGCTTGGAAGTGTGATTTTACCATTGGGCCCTTGAGCAAGGCCCTTAAACCCGATCCCTCCTGGCACACTGGCTGATCCTACTCTCTGATTCTCACTTATACATTTGCTCAGTAAATGTAAATGTCTTCAAAAGAAACATAAAGCTTACCTGACTTTACTGCATTGATACTTTTATGGTATTTTTTTATTTTATTGTTTTAAAACAAAATCTATTAGTGTTGTGTATTGCTTGTTATTGGTTTTACTTGACCAATTATTATTTTTTTTTTTACCTGGCCTGAAATTTGTTTCATTTTATTTGAAGAAATTTTAAAGAGTGAAGCATTCAGCCATATTACCAAAATCAGGAAATGCGAACAAGAACATCCAGCTGGCCTTTACTGGAGGAAAAAATACTGCAGAAACATCATAAGTACCCATAAAGAATATAGTCCGAAAGAGATAAGACTTCAAGTAATAAACTGCTGAGTAATAACAGGACCAAAGCAAAAATGTATTAAAAACTGTTAATAATTAGGTCATCTGTTGTGGTTAAATGGCTGTTTGGTGTTGGCATAGCACTCAGTCGATGGATTAATATAATTTATACAACATGTGTCATAGAGCAATTTCTAGCAGTTATAATGACAGGCTTTATTGCAGACATGATGGAGTGGGTCAGGTAGGTCGAATAGATCACTTCAGGCCAGACGTGTTATGATTTATGGTGTTTTGCATTCATATAAAACCACAGATTCCGATAGATGCTGATGTGTTAAGGGAAAAAATGGTCTGAAGGTACTGTTAAGGTACACATTATTCTGTAGGTTGTATATATGGTAGCTTTATTGTTAATTCTACATTATTATATTGACCTATGGTTTAGGTTTAGAAAATATGCTGGTATAGAAATTTTTCTGAACAATTTAGCAAGAGTAATGCCTGGTGTCTGGTAAAAATCCATCTTCCTGAATGATTCGAAAGACAAATGAGCACCTGAATGTGATCCTGAGTTTTATCTGTTAATGGTTAGTGCGATGTTAATGCATCTGCGCAGTGTTCTGTGTGGACAGCGAGGGGCTCGCCTGCTCTGTCATTGGTGACAGATATGCCTCTCGAGAAGAGGGCCTCCACTTGCATTGACCTTCTGCAAAGTGAACGCTTGGAACCACAGGTGGGGGAGATGGTGTGCAGCTCAGAAGCTGGAATCCCCACATGTCTCAAATCGCCCCCTTGCTGTTCAATCCATGTGTCACGTTGGTAGGAATGACAGATCATCCAGGTTAAAACTACCTTCCCCTGTGCTCCTCCGTGTGAGCCAGAGTGACCCCACTTAAACTCCACCATTCCCAATGACACTTAGCCAACACCCAAACTTACTGCAATGCATGCAGACTGCCAGCACACATTCTGTTTCTAAGTGTTTGGCTCAGAACATTGTGCCCATGACCAGAAGGTAATTGGTTCAAATCTCAGGGCCAGCAGAATTATCTTACCGTTGGGCCTCTGAGCAAGGCCCTTAACCCTGAAATTCCCCAGGGGCTGGCAAAAAATGTGCATTATTGTAAGTAAAAGTATCTGCTAAGCCAATGTAATGTGTCCAGGGTTTGAGGCAGTAGGTGTTTGCCCACTTGAACCATTATCCTTACATGTACTACGTTATAAAGGCCCATTTTCCAAGGTGGACTGAGTCAGTGCAGGTCCCAGCTGTGATGTATGGGGCCTTGTGATTGTACAGGCGTAACAGGTGATCTTGACGTTCCGTAATTGATGCTGTTTTTAGTTACACAAACATACAAATTCTTCAGTTGAGTTATTCATAACTCACGGTTTTTATTGATCAGTTCATTATGAGCCAGACCTCCATCAGCATCACCTCAAGACAGCAGACTCATGACATCATCGTAGGGGTCAGAGAGGCAGCTGCCAGCCCCTTCCCCGTACCATACGCTCCCAGCCGCCTGTCAAAGGTAACATTTGTGTTGTGTGGCAGCTGGGTGGGATGTAGTATCTGTGTTCTGCGTCACACATTGGGGCCAGATCCAGTTACATTAGTCAGTAGCTAAATAGGTTTCTGTGTTCAGACAATCCCTCTTTCACAGCCTAAACCAGGGATACACCCAACCTAACAAAATAGATGGCGAGGCTTTGGGGTGTGGGACCAACAGACATTTTCTTTGCCTGACCTTATAAGCGACGGCAGCCAAGCCTGTTTAGAAATCAGCTGTAATAACGACAACGTGAATCGAGGTGCCTGTCTTTATTCCTGTAATGGTAATGGCTCACACCATGATAAACACTCGGAACTAGTGATATTAATCATTAAACATAGGTTTCTCTGTCCTCACGTAGTTTTTGGCGTTTA